CCTTCCGAATTTCATCACTGCTAACAAATCTACTACAAACTGGTGAAAGTACGGCCTACTATAAATTGCGCATGTAGCCAACGGTCAAACAACGTGCTGTCATCCGGATTTTCGTTTGTACAAGGCTCTTGAAGCGCATTTTCCAAAAAGGCGCCTATGTTCACCTCGAACGTGAAGAAACAAGTACGAATCATGGGCTCCGTTTCTTTCTGCCGATCGTGGGTAACAATTATCTGTAAATTCGGTCAAACAGGAATGACTGAGTGGTAGGAGGTCCTGACATTGAGAATTGAACCTGGAGGAAGTTGAGGAGTTCCCACCAAGTTCTCCACCAACAATTTTGGGCGGAAAACTGGGGTGAGACGAGCTTGATGGAGCTCTTCCGACGTGACGATATCGGCACAGTTGTCGGGGTGTCCTTGACCGTGTAACCATCGAGTAAAACGCAGCTTATACAGCTTAAAGAATATGTCAGAAGCCCGGTTACTAAGGTCGCCACGAAAAGTGAACTCGAGCTTTGACAGGACTTGATCTAACGATTTGATTCGGTAATCGTAGAGGGTAAACACGAAGGACAATCCCCGCGACAAGCTCTGACTCAGTTTCAGCAAGGGACAAGGCACCGCATAGCTTTACCGTAATATGATCTTCAGGATCTGGGAGTTGCGGAGCACCATTGGCTAAGGCTTGAAAGCCCAGGCGAAACGCCCGTACTTCATTATGTTCAGTGCCATCGAATCCCAAGAGGACGTGCAGCAGGAGCGTCAATTCCAAACGTGAGTGTTCCTCGGATGATCTTTCTCGGGTTAAAAAAACCAACTAAGTAGCGAGGAGGAGTTTGAGCTCGAGTTGGCAGTAAGGGAGGAAGTACTGACACTGGGATATATCTCTGAACACAGGAGGCCAAGATGGCTGGTAGCAACTTGATTTCGTGGGATTTTATCTTGAGGTCCGATTGCAAACCACGGCGCCAGCCGCATCCCCATCTCCGGGTCCAACTTCTGGATGAATTCTAAAGATAAATGAAAGGCCTGGCGGCCACGTAAAATGAAGAGGAGAAAAAAGGGACTGATGGGAATAGGTGCAAGGGCACGACGGTGTATGATAGAAAGCGCCGCCCAGCGACCTGCCGCCCAGAACGCAGCCTGCCGACTGGCAGAGCGGAAGATATCCGGCCATAGAACTGGCACCTTATACGAGCCTCGGGTGCCCCAATACTCCGGGTTCGAGGTAATAAATTCCAGACCCGAGGTATAGAGCTCTAGAAGGGGGCCAGACCCCACTGCCTGTTCAAAGAAAGGCCGTTCGCGATCTCCCCTACAAAAGGATTAGACTAAAATTCCCGGTATAACGGCCACTTGCAGAAGGATATCGTGGTCCTTTTCTTTGAGCCAGTCAATTGAGTCGGTGTTAGCGCAAATGACTCCAGGTAAAAGGACTTGATGGGGAGATTTCGATGAGTCGAAGTTTGAGTGCGACTCCAGGAGTTGTATCAACGATTGAGCGACTGATGGAGCATCCCGACCCGACAAGACACTCCCACTATTTCGAAGTCCGACAGTCGCATTACTAGTGGCAGGAGTGCTGTGGGAATTGATCCATTGTTCGACGAGTGAGGTATCAAGGTGGAATGAAAGAGGTGTTCTGCAACTGGGTAGGATAGTAGGCTCGTCGTCGGAGTCCGATATGCAAAGGACCGCTTGCGGGGGAGACACAAGTGGACGAGCCGCTATCCGAGTAGAAGATGGTAGCATAGGTCCGGGATTAGTGGGGGATAAATTCCTAAGTGGACGCTGGAGAAACTCGAGTGAGGCCCCAAGTCAAGTCCAATTAACGGTAAGCAGACTTACAGATAGCAGGGGGAGCAGTGCGCGCCTCACATGCCGACGTATTTTGCGACTAGAGCGGTAAATCAGCGACCTGCAACCCCAGTCAAAGTCTACTTGCCCGGTTCAAGTCGAGCGTTGGACTACTAGGAAAAGCTGAGGAATCTGTCAACTCGTCCTCTGAGTCCACAAACAGTGGGTTGAATGCACGAGACTGGAATCAATGTAGGTTTCTTAAGAAGCATTCAATGCAGAGACACTTACGGGCTGTCTGCCCATAAAATCTGCCCTTGCACGTCGAGTTCTCCATAATTCAGGTAGCTGGTCTTCACGCATATGAGCGGCTGAGGTTGAAGAACGGCTATTGGAGGTAGCTGAGTTTCGGGAAGTAGCCTGCAGATAATCATCGGCCAGTGGTCGGTTCTGAAAAGGTAGCTGGTCTTCACGCATATGAGCGGCTGAGGTTGAAGAACGGCTATTGGAGGTAGCTGAGTTTCGGAAAGTAGCCTGCAGATAATCATCGGCCAGTGGTCGGTTCTGAAAAGGTATCAATCCTTCAGTGTCGTAGGGAATAACAAGTCTAAGATTGCGCACCGTGGCGTAACTCATAGAGCGAGAGGAGGACGATCGTTCCGGTACAAGTAAAGGCTATCGAAGAGTTAGCGAAATAAGTTGGGCCGTTGACTCTCACCTCTGGCGTAGCAGGGCACTCTAGGTCTTGACAAGAAGGAACCGAGAACTCTCGAATGGAGCTTATCCAGTCAGATTTTTGGAGCACTTGCCAGCCGAACCCATTACACGAATGCGACCCCAAAGTCCCAGGATCTATCGCCGGCCCCGTGAGATTACTACCTAGAGGCGCTACCAAACTTGAGACCTTCGCGAAACATGGAGGGTCAATAAATCACCTATAAAGAGCATGCGAACTTCCGCATCGGTAGGATGCGGAACCCGGTTGGCAAGTTTTTGAAGGGTCGTCAACGTGAATTCATATTGCGGCACTCGATAATTCACCAATTGAGCTTTAGAAGCGCTGGATCGGAGTGTGAGGAAGGTCCAAGGAAGGTGGACGTAGCTCAAGGGCGTGCCATCTGTGCTGGCTTGAGCCCCGAAAAAAATGGAATTGAGGCGGAGTGTGTTTTCTATGCAAGTATGCATCGATCGCCACGCTTCTTGTGGGCCAGTGGGCCTCCAAATCACAGACAGACGTTGTTCCTGAAGAAGCTCCAAGGCGCTGTGTAACGCGAGGTTCTCGTTAGGCAGAGGAAAGCCTTTCAGAGCGCAGTTATTCCCAGACTGGAGCGATACATGAGCAGGGGTAATCCAAGTTCGCGTAGCCACGTACCAGACTCAAAGGAAGGACGTAGATAACAAACTGGACGGGCGGTGGATCTCTGACTTTCCTGCCCTTTTTGCCGGCGGGAGGCCCATTTAACTCCGGAAAAGAACGCCTAGCCATACTGTTTGTGCGCCGAAGACGTGGCGGGCTAAAGTCGGGCGAGGGAGATTCGTAGGCTTGGATGGGCAGGCTGCGAGCCAAGATGGAGCCCCCCTGTGCGGTTATGCGACGGTCATATTCACCGATCGTCCACGCCGTCGCATCATTCGACTCGCGTAGAGGGTAGCTCGGAGAACTGTATAAAAATTGAGTCCTCGTGGCAAGAGCCTCGGAAAAATACGCACTTGAACTGAGATGACTCCGACCTCAGAGGTTCATGCTCAGCATACGTGTGCCGGCACGAGAGGCAGCGCAAGTTGCGCAACCCGTGGCTTCTCGAACCCTACAGAGTTAGACCCATAACAGTGACCGAACACTGACTCACCAGTTGTGGGACCATCGATGGAGAGAAACGGCCAGAGGTGCACCGACACTGAGTACAAGAAATCCGAGGAGGCACATTGGACATAGTTCGGCGAGGTGGGCACTGGTAATCGGGGTGAGATCGGGTGAGACTTGAGAGCTTGGTTGGGACCAATGACATTTATACCACTTTCACCCAACTTGAAACGGTATGTGGACAAAAATAAAGAGCGCTGCACAGGAAACCACACGGTGGGATAGGATAGGGTTGTTTGAGACGGATCAGGATCGTAGGCTCGGATAATATTTACACGAAAAACGGGTGCCGCTTGATCAACGCTTCCCACGCAGGTAAGTAGAGGTAATTACTTTCAAGTAGTCTTAGAAACGAACTTGATGGCGGATAGCGAGGATCGCAACGCAAGCGGGACGATTCCACAAGTCGGACCGTGCCGTGTAAAAATCCATTCCAATCCAATCCACATACTCAACTTCTCCTAGCTAGATCTTGTGCTCAACAAGCACTAACAATTGATCCCAAACTTTTCCTTCCTGTTGGCTCTCGATTCTTTCGTCACAGAAAGCCGGAGTTTTCCTTGAGTCAGCTCCCCAGCGACGCGACAACGAGTAAAATGGACTAACTTCACTCGTTTATCACGCCGGCTCTTCCGTTGGGCACGAAACACCCAAGTCTGAATTGTGACCAACATCCTTGGTAGCGTACCGTTGAGCATTATTAGGCAAGGAGTACGGTACCGTGATGACAGCGTGGACAACAGGTATTGCCTTTTAAGTAAGATAGATAGGATGACGGTGAATAGCCTACGAACAGAGTCATTCACGAAAGGAGAAATGAGGACGAACACACCTGTGTTTGAGTGGCCTCCATCGAACTAATCCTTGAGACACTTGAATGCGAAATCGGCACTGAAGATGAACGAGTGAAGAAGAAGGAGGGGACATTGGAGAAGGTCGAAACGTGACAATAATGCCGCGGGAAGATTGATATTCTCGCAGGCGAGACTTTGTGGGTTATAATGACCGTACCGAGAATTCGTTGTTGCAAGAATCGAGGTGCGGGCATTGAGGGTGGTTGAGATACCAGCTTTGGAAATACAGATGGTTCGTTGGTCCATCATTTCATGGATGGCAGTACGATCAGAGTCGTCCATCTTGTCGAATTAGTCGATGCAGCAAATTCGGTGCTTGTTTCAATGATTGGTCAGTCAAAAATCAACGAAAAGTGAAAATAACGCACCAAGGACCATTTCGTCTGTGACAGGATTGCGCATAAATAACCGCGGTTAACCCAACACCAGAAGAGCCTTTACCGGCCGTGTAGACTCCCCAAGGCGCAATTTTGGAGATGTAGTTCAGAAGTTGGGACTTCGCAACACCAAGATCGCCCCACGAATCTTCATTCCATCCCCGATAACTTTCGGAACCCCTACAACAAGTAAAAGCAGAAGCGCCTTCTTGACGTCTGAGTAACCATAGATTTCGGGAGCGATGCTTCCGGCCAGCTTGTTGAATAAGCCGTCCTGCCCGTGGACCTGCTGCATCTTCGCTTCGAGCTCTGGTGTTGTCTCCATGTCGCGATATCGTTGATTTTGTTGGTGAACGTCATGTACGCCCAGGCACGCGTCCGTGAGAAGCTCAGCACGAGTGGCTTGGAAACCGGTGGAGGGAACGGGGGGCGGGGGAAATGCCACCAAGATGAACCTATCGCCAGGGTTCATAAGGCGTGTAAAGTTCCCGCAAACGTGGATTGCCATGGAACGGGGGATGTGGCCAACAGGAACTTGGTCAGCCTAACAGTGGTCAGGGAGAGATAATACCAATGGCGAATATGATATTACCATCTCTTGGAACGGACTGAAACGACAATCCCGTGTTTGCATATGCAAACCACCCTTCACGTCATTCTTCTCGCACTCTTCAGTGTTGCCACGGTCGTAGAGTGGCGCGAAAGTCTTGTTCGTGACCTCTTGGAATGTTTCCGATCCACAAACGTCGCAGGTGTGGGCGTTGACTTGTAGTAGTGGTTTGACCTCTGATACTTTGGTCATAATCCCACGAACAGTGATGAGATGTCCAATATGGGCACTATGAGCTTCGCGGACGGCGAGAGCAACGTCGCTGAGCAGCGGTTTGCAGAATGTTAAAAACAAGATGAGAAAATGCAACTCAGGACTCACAATCTCCGAAGAATATGGTCTGGGAGCCCTGCTTGGTCCAACTGTGCATGCCGTTCATGTCGATGACCTCGTCCTGATCGCTGATGTCTTTGTTGGGAGGATTCAGACGCAGCAGATCGTCGACGACTTCGCTGAAACAAAGCGGCAAGTATTGCCGCAGATCGACCGTCCTGCGTCGATATGATGAGTATGCGCAGTTCCTCCTAAGATTAGGACATACTGAGGAGTGTCATTTGTCCTCCAGCTCTACGAGAAGCTTCTTTTGTTCGCGGTTGAGTATTCGTTGCTGCTTGACGCGTCAGAGGCGCGTCACAATAAGTATCTAGAGACGCACCAGTTGTCTTTTTATCCATCTCTGGGTTCATTTGCGCGTCTTCTGGCGCGTTTACCCGAATTCCCGCCATCCCAGGCTCGATGTCCTTCTCTGCCTCCCCCTGGAAGGTTTTCGAAGAAGTTTCTGATGATAACAGGACGTTGTAGGTGGCTATATAGGACAGCTCATTCCGAGCAAGCATATCTTTTCTGTGAGGATGGTTGTAGTAGGGGAGCAACGACACGGTTAATGTTAATGGGCGTGACTGTGACTTCGCTCGCAAAGGTGTCACACCAACTCTCCTGCCATCAACGTGCATCAACAGTCAAAGTGTTACGCTCGCCATATTATTAACGCGCTGCACGGCTCACGGTACTTGTTCCCTACGTTTCTGCTTCCGCCGCGCTCCCCACAAAAACGAATTTGTTCTCCTTCTCCTCCAGACCCGTCTTCCCGATCTACTAGTCCCAATCTTTCGCCTCGTAAACGGCCCCGTAACGATATGCTTGTCCGCGACACTGTTTCTCGAATTTCCCATGTATCTATCAACTCCTGCCCGTCCCCTCCCCGCTCTGAGCCCCCCAAAAACGTTGCGTTGAATAGTTTTGACGAAGATGACCGGGACATTTTTGCCGGTATTTTTCTTTAATTTTTTTTTTCTATTGAGCTGACACTCAGGGCCTCCTAGATCCTGAGGACCCCGTTTATTTCAACTACTATGGCCGCATTCCCGTAGAAGAATCTGAACTACCTGCTCGATTCAAAGAAACGGGCGGCGAGGACGACGGCACTCCGATTCGTAGACTCTCTGCTTTCGCTATATTCAAGGTTGATGGCCGAGAGCTGGTCAACCCTCTGGAAATTGACAGAGACGACATTATCGGTCTCTTCGGTGCCGCCGGGCTGGCCACGGAAGTTGCCAACCAACTTGGGGACAATGAATCTGACGCCGAAACCGAAACATGCTTCATCAAAGTCGACATAATTGGATTCAACGCACACCATTATGAGGAGGCTTTGGACGAGTAGGTTGTTGTTCGAAGACAGTAATATGGTTCTCACAGTTCAAAAGACAAGTGTACATCGAAACGAAGGAAGCGTGGTACATTCTTGATATCCCTGCGACGGAGTACAAAGCATTTTGGGACGGCTTTCATCTGAAAAGCCGAATTGCCAACTCCGTTCTTTCAGCTGCGATCGACAACCCATCGGCCACCTACGAGACTTGGGTAGATGGGGCCATCGTGGAGCTCGACTACCCGCAACTCGAATCAATACTCAAAAGAGATGAAATGGAACGTTGGCCAGACTTACTTTCCTCTCCTCACAACTCACCTCATCCCAGACTGCATACCTAATGCATGCCATCGATCGCGTTGAACTGTCGTATGGAAAGATCGCAGAAGTTCCGCTTATTCTACACTTCTACGCTCAGGTTGTGTGTGGGGGAGCCTGAAGAGTGTGTCGAAAGGAAGGTCTGTGTGGGACTCTATTGCGAGAAACGGAGGGTAATAATGATGGAACCCGTGCTTCCAATAAAATGAACAAGACGGCAAAGTCTTCGTCACAGAAATTTGTAGTCGTATCGTAGACCAGCCCTAATTCTAACGCATCGTGCGACCGTCGGCTTATGTAACACAGATGGACTCACTCTCACCTCATAAGATTGACAAATCCTGTAACCGCTCATTGCTCGCAATTGATTCAACTTCCTCCACGTTGCTACGAGTTTCAACTTCCGCACTTCATCGCCCGGATTGCCTGAAGCTTATCACTCATGGATCAAAGGACTGGACGGAACACGGCAGTTTGATTCAAGTTACACTTCCCGCTCCTCGTCTTTATAACCACCGGCGTATGAGCGGTGATCCAGACACTCCGTCCTGACGCCATGTCCCTCCCTCGACGAAGCATACGACCTCGTCGACCCACTGCTCGTTCGTCAGCGCTCGCTTCCCTAGACACAGACGACTCGGATGGTAATCAGACTGGCAAAAGGCCCGCAGCATCAGCTACCGCGGACGACCCGCCAAGCAAGCGGCGTCGGCGGCGGCGAAAAGGTGAGTGGGCGTCCAACTGGCTCGCACATCTATTGACAGCGCATTACAGAAAATGATTTGACCGTTTCATCTGAATCTGGAACTATCGGAGTCGACTTGAATGCGGGGACTGCCTCTTCCGTCTTTGGCGCACGTTATGAACCATCTAGACCGGCTCCCGATAGACAGAATTACCTGAGGCGTCCCAGCTCCAGCTTGAATGGTGAGGCTTCTAATCACAATTTGGACGCGCCTTACTAGGCTTCGTTAACGCTTATCCACGTTACCAGTGAACCAAATGGCTTCTGCATCTGGCAGCGGCAGCGAAGGTTCAGAGGTGAATTCCATCGGCGAAGGAACTGGTTTATCGCCGGCCTCAGTAATTATTCACGAGGCTTCCCCTTCCGAGCCTCCGTCCCGGGCCCTTAGCGAAGAGATTCGACCTCTTATGGTGACTTTCCAGCGCTGCCCACATCGTAGCTTACCCCGACTCAGTCAGCTTCAAGTCTACGCCCGGATCCGAGTCATGCACAACTAGGAGTTGGTGGAACGGTACCGGACGGCTCGGATGAGGTAGAAGATATCCACTGGCACGGCCGCGGCCAACCCATCACTCGATCGCCGATTTCGACTGCAAGCTCACCTCCGCCTCCAAGGCCTCGTTATCCCAGTCGCATCGTAGTCCCACGTGGCACTCCTCGTCTACCTCCGGGCGACGCCAGTACGGTGGATGGTACTCCTGCTTTGACGGCCCTACCTTTGCTTCTGGCAGAGCTCCGCCTCGTGCCTGGCTACGAAGCTGGGTTTATTAGCCCCACAGACTACGAGGCTCACTGGAGGGAAAGACAGCGTAATATGACGCCCAGCTCTTTCATTCTCCATATTCATTTAGAACGATTGGATGTACCAGAGCAGAATCTGGTGATCAAGATCGACCCAAGTCCTTTTCCTGACCTCCATTCGGTTTTCGTCGAAGACCTCTTCATGCAGGTTGTTTTAGACGCCGAAGAATTCCGCTCGATATGGCAATCTACGTTGGGTTATGGCGTTGGTACTTCCGACAAAGCAGTGGATCCCAACATACGACGCTTTAGAGATATACCTTATCGAGTGTTGGGACACACTCACGATCTTCTACAACGCTCAATTTTCCCTCCGGAAAGCCGATTGCGCTTAGTCCACGGCATGCCCCCCGACCCCAACTCTGTGGGCTTCGTGTTGTACTTATGGGTGAGCGGCGGTTACCCTTCCGTATCCATTTTTGATCCCAATCCGCAATATTCATATTTTTAGGAGACGGAGTTGGATTTTTCACCACACAGCCGAAACCTGCGTCCCACGTACTCATCCGACTCCGACCTCGATTACGAACGAGAGAACATGGCGATATTAGCTCACGATAGTAGTCCTCCACCGTCTGCTGGAAACTACCCTCAGGCTCTCCCAGGTCCCTCGAACGCTGCCTATCGACCACCTGAAACTCGCAGGGAAAATCAAGCTTTGGAATCGTTACAGTTGGATTTAGGCCCTTTAGAAGAACTCGTGGAAACGGCCTACGGAGTGGGCTACAAGCACTGTCAAATTGTGCGGGTCGTCCAATCCATGGCCGCCCGAATTGGGTTTCAATGGCCAGCCAAGGGATTAGTTGCGACCGTGCAACTGAATGGGCAGAGCGTTCAGCTTCATGATTTTATCGTGTGGCTTTCCACTCGCATCGTCCAATTCCCAGCCCCGAACTCCTTCAAAAATCTGGTAACTTTGCATCAAGACGTAAAGGAAGTCTACCAGCGCCTCTCCACTTCGTCCGAGGCGTTGTCCAACCAACAAGAGTCCGATCTAACAGCTTCCGAATGGTTGGTTACGTTCGATTTTTCCATTGTCGACCGCCAGGTCTCCCAAGGAGGCCGAGTCCCAGCGGCAGCGCAATATTCTAGGACCCAAGTCCTCGATCTAATCAAGCGCAATCTCGCCTGGCGTCGCTAAGCGTCAGATGGAATAGTGCTGTCGGTCTAGTTGGGGCTGTAGTTGGGTGACGCGGTTATTTCGTACTCGTAGGCGTCAGATCCGATCGTGATCAAGGCTGGCATGTCGAATCGTAATTCATGATAACTTTGAAAATGCAGCGGGTTTTACTTTTGAAGTGGAGAACTGCATCGGGTCAACTTGCGCCTTACATCCAAACAACGGTTTGAAGGTCGAGATACATAATAATAATATCAACTAGAAGGACTCGGAACACGTGAGCTACGGTTGTGACGCAACACGACCCAGCTTTCGACCTTTCGTTGTTGCTCCGTAAAACCGTACCGGTAAGGCGCGCATTGAAGGCTTATCAGTCCACCCATTGTATAGCTTAGGTCGATAGCTATAGACTACCAGTCACCATAAGTGTACTGCAACTCCGAATCGCTGCAGCCGCTGCCTGAGTCCGGACTCCGGAGAATGCCACAGAAACCACTTTCTGGCTGAATGAAACCTCTCACAAGCGTCAATTGAATCCAATAGTTTTCAGCGCCGAGAAGTTAACCAACTTTTAAGTTTCAACTGTAGCCTGGGCCGTCCCGTCCCGCCCCGGACGTCGCCGCTCCAATGGGCTGACCTATTCAAAGATATTCTTGAAGTGCGTATCTGTACATCTCTAAGATCTAAAACCTAACACCCATAGACTTGAAATCTAGATCGACGCTGAAAGCACGACCAGATCGAAAGGTGGATCAAAAAGCGGGTCGGACTTGAAGCTTTTGATCCACTGCGAAAGCGGATCAGCCTCGAGTGTCTGAGAGTAACGGATATCTGACCCACCGCTTGGAATAGCAAACGAGTAGCACTGCGTACTTAACCCCCCCGTTCCAGTTCAAATCCTACCCTCAACACGATGACCCTCCTCATTCCCCTTGATCTCAACACGGCAACAGGGCCAGAGCAACGTTCGCTGCCCTCATACATCCAGCCTTCCCACAACCCATCTGCGGATATCCTTGAAGTCCTTAGCGCCATTGACCAAGCCAAAAATATTGTAGTTCTCTGTGGTGCGTCGTTGCAACATACCATTGAACATAGTTGAGCTTACGGCTACCAGGCGCAGGAATCTCGGTTCAGGCAGGCATCCCTGCTTTTCGAGGTAGCCACAGGTCCAGGCCGAAGCCTGGGAATACCGTCGATCCCCAGTTACAGCTCAATAATGGCCAATTTTTCGATGCCTTGGAAGTTTTCCGGGTCAGTTATGAGCGCCGCTTGCTCGAATTCTGCTCACTCGCGCAGTCCCTTGATTCCATAGCGGACTTCAATCAAGTGATTGGCCAGCTTCACGAGAAGGCGTCCGTGGCGAAACCCACTGCCTTCCATCGCCTCCTTGCGAGTTTACAGAACCGGGGAACCCTTGACCGTCTACACCCAGAACGTTGATGGCCTTGAAATCGAAGCCGGCTTACGGCCCGTCGGTACCGACCCGGATTCTACGGACACCATCTGTGTCCCGCTGCATGGCACCGTGCATCGCATGCATTGTACCGCTTGTTCCACGCCATTTGGAACCCAAGAGTATATTTCCGAACTTTGTAGCGCCGCCGTTATCTCCTGTCCTAAATGCATAGAAAAACTCGGCCAACCACGCGATCGAAGTCTTCGGCGGCAGCGTCGAGTTGGACTTCTTCGGCCTTCGGTGGTGTTGTACAACGAGGCCCACCCGGATGGTGAATCTATCGGAGAGTATATTGCAAGGGATGAGACGGCTGCGAGCAATGCAGAAGTGGATCTTCTTTTAGTCGCTGGCACAAGTCTCTCCGTTCATGGAGCCAAAGATCTGGTTCGGCGCATCTCCAGGACGATGAAGGCCTCGGCCGTTGCCAATGATAACCATAGAAAGCTCCAGAGTCTCTACTTGAACCTTGGACCTCCCAGATCGAAGGAGTGGCAAGGTATATTCGACGCATGGGTCTGCGGAGATATTCAAGTTTTAGCGCACATGATCCAGGATTACGGCAGCTGATTTGTCGTACCCGAGTCAAGTAAATACCGTAGCCGGTCGCACCGTTTGTAACTCTGAATCCGATTGCGAAGGTCTTTGGCTATGGCTCGGAATACTTGAGGCTTATCTACTTAGAGAACTAGCAATCGATATTAATATCTTCAGAGTGCCAGCGAAATCTGGGGAGTGCGCTCCATATCCAATGCGGATGACGATGGTGAAGCTGAAACGCCAGCAACTTCCCGAGCCGCGCTTGATTTACCAGGTCTTGACCGTGATTCCCTCATCCCCATCCTTGCCAAAGTCGAGTTTGACATCAATCGACGACGTGCTGGCGGGTATGATCCATGGGTGCGCAACAGGCGGATGAACCATGCCAAACGAGCCAGGACAACGAGCGAAACTGGAGCAGGAAGTAGCGCAGATGATGCCATTTAAACTCAAGGGCAAACGAAACCGTATTCCTGACTTGCTCTGTTAGCATTTTTTTTGGTGTTGATTTCTGCTATACTAACTTTCTTTCGAGTAGGTTGACCACCCCATACTATGAACGTCGAACCTCTTGGCGCAACCGGAGGCCTATAGTGACCACCCGGCGAGGAAGCGTGAGCACCTTTCGGTAGCGGGAGTAGGTCAGGCTGGGTAAGGTTGATTGGTGTTGCGTCGATAACTTTGAACCAGAGAATTAGGACGGGGACGAAGGAGGCTGCGAATGCAAGGGGACGTAGGCGAGCGGAGAGGATGACGAGGGCATGTCGAGGGGTGACAAAGACCTTAGAACCGTCGACTAAATGGTGATAGCCAGTAAAGAGAATGATCGCAAGAACGGAGTGAGTTGGATTTGAACGTCAGAACCTTGAAGGGGAGAGATGAAGCGCGCACTACCACGGTGGTGTATTCCCAAACTCACTCGTTCTCTCCTAGGATTCAGAGTTAGGGTGTTGAGATGGAAAGCGTTCTGCCTGTAGAAGGCAACGAGGATAGGTGTAAGTGGACCTTTGCTTTCCTGCGTAGCGTTTCTGGTTTGCGTAAGTGTCAACTTTCAAATTAAATTAAAAGTGGCGGTGGCGTGACCAAGCGTGACCGCGAATCCTAATCGCCATTTCCCATGCCGTCCTCACTACCGCGAACCGCTCCTCCCCCGTATCTACCGTACCTGTTCACATTCACTATACTATGTGTCAACAATGATCGGGCACCCGGCACCGCGCAGAATCTTCGCCAAAGCCCACTGCTTGACACAGCCCCCCTTCCCCAAAGTATCGAACTCACTCTGACAAAGGCCACCGCAATTGTTGCCCCAAATGCTTTGCAATACGTTCGCTCACAGGGACTACTACATGCTCCACTACTCGAAGAAATCCATATTCAACCACCTACAACGACCTTCCGCTCCTTCCGCTATGCACTACCGCTTGCAAGTTGTATCCAATATGCGGCTTGAGGTCTTGGAGGACTTTCGTCAAATTATGGTGCGGTAACTATTGCCTCTGCTGGGTGGGTTACCGACGGTTGGGTGAGGCTTCGAACGGTGGTGGTTGAAGTTTTTCTCATTGGGTCGAGTTTGCTCATCATATTTTCGCAACTGTCTGCCGAAGTCGAGGGACCCAACGGTTTCCAACGTCAATCGTCAACAATGACATTCGCTCATCTGAGTGGACTCAAATCTCTCTTTCTTCATCCTAACTGCAATGCTTACAGCTTGCTCTCGATCGTTCTAACTTTCCCATAAGGTTGCAACGCAGAGACATCTTTCCCCGCTGGACGCCTCGTCGTCGAGAGATGGGTAGACTGAAGCATTTCACTCTGGTCTATCTCAGATGCGGTGTAATTGATAGTTCATATGTACCTCAGTACAGTGGAATAATTACTTAGTCGTCATCTCGGTGAACCAGTGTAATGTAATGTTTGATTGCCATCCCATAGCTCTCTTGTGCACGTTTCCATAAAACCGCTCCTCGGTTCTCCATCTTCTTCCCATTGGATTGGTCCACGGCCGGTGCACCGATGAAGCAAGTATAGCGGTAGAGCCCTCTGGCAACTTGAAGGTCCATGACAGCCACTGTGTGGCCTCGACCACAAAAGTCTTGAACTGGACCCGTGCAGGCTAACAGTCGAGTAATGAGGCATGCGACGCATGCAATGCCAGGGATGCAGGGGCTAACAACCTTCAAGTAAGCCAACAACCTTCAAGTAAGCCATGGAAACTGGATATGAATTCGCACCACAAAGGAACGATGGCCCGAGGTACGCCTCCACAAAATAGACATTTCAAAACTAGACCAGTTTTCATATATAAATAAATAAATATAGCACCTCCAAAGCCTGTCTTATACCTTGAGCCCACTTTTCCTTCGACGAATTTGCACGACAAGGTGCATAGCGGATTAACGCTCGATGAAGGTTCAGTAAGGGAGACATGGCACCCCGTCACAAGATTCAGAACGGTAAACGCGGTTGATGGGGTGATTTGATAACAAAAGAAAGAGAGATCATACGATCATTCAATGCCAGCTAGCTAACCAGCTAGCTAAGGTATTAAATTATTATCGGTAGTGGCGGCGAGGCGCCAGTCCCCGACTCCTTCTGAGATGAGATTCCAGGACGATAAACTCGATAATGTTACATAGTATTGATACAAAAACATATTCATCGATGCAGTAATCTCATTCTTCCTTCTCCTCCCCTTCTTCTTGTTCCTCTTGCTCCCCTCTTCTTGTTCCTCTTGCTCCGTAAGATAGTCATCCAACTCCTGATTCCGACGCTGTTTCACGTTGCGAAGATACGGCATTGACAGAATCCGTTTAACTGGGTTGGATCTTGGTCTGCTGTCGTATCGAGCACTAGTAGACTTGGTCTCTTCGAATCGAGCAAGGTCCTATGTCAATGTCAGTTGCTAACCCATCTTTTACTAAGCTATACCGTCGTCGCTTCTTTGCTAATGCGAATGATGCGGTCCAGGTGACAGAGGACTTGCTTGTCCTTATTAAACGGCGCTGCTCGCAAGTTGAATGCAATTTCCACCAAATTTCCTTGTCGGAATGAACTGCGAGCTGGATCGTCGCGGACGTCACGTTCTCTGATTGAAAAATTCAACTCGATGTTTCGCTATGCAAGGAAAAAAAAATACTCATTTGCACCCACTCCAAGCAGGTCATGCAAAGCCACTTCATTGTCTGTCGTAAACACGTATTGTTGGCTTGCATTCCAACGCTCCATAAACCTTGAGGGTCAAGATCTTCAGGTATTACAGCAGGTTCAAAACAGTTGTTTCTCGACGGTGTCATGAGTCGACTTCCTGCAGTGATGGTTGGATAATTGCCGAATGACGAGGAAGAAACCAGCGGGAAGATATCTGAACCACTTTCGACCAGTCGATCTGAGAACAGACGCATGGCCTTGGCTGTCGCTTGAAATATCTGGTCGTCGAACCCGGTAATCGTGATGGTTTGGATGAAGCGATGAGGTTCGTCGTGAATTTTGTTGTTTCTAGAGTAACTCAGTCAACGCTTCAGTGGTAACAGACTACTTGCACAAGATTTTGGTTGATGGGACCCAAGGCAACATTGGTAACGAAACCGACGACCAGGAAGTCAATGTCTTGATCAGCGCTGTCGACTATATAGGTGTATCCATTCTTCCCTTCGCGTGTGTGGGAGCAAACATTCACTAGATTTGCCGAATTATATTCATGCAACACACAGCGAGAGTATTCTTCATCTTTGAAGACTTCTTCACGATATTCTTCCATTTTTTTTCCCTCGAGAAAGTCAGTATATATATTTCAGCATCCAACCACTTACAATCTACGCCTTTTTTTTACAATTTCACAGAACTCAACCGGACTAACTTTGAACTTGCGATCCAGATTGCGAGCGGGGGGCATCGGTACGATACGAGTACAAGGCTATGGGGATGAGTGACAGGCTGTCGTATGTTTCATTTCTTCACTGGCCATGGACGAAGAATCGGAAGATGGACGAAACAAGAGCGTGACGCCTCTGCTCAAGTTACACTCATTAATCCGGTGGACTACCTCGTCTCCCGGCCCATACTCCCTCGCATGACTGTTTCTGACCAAAACGACCTGTTGGAGACTGCTCTCGTGCCATTTAAGAAGCTATTCACCACCCCCAACGGCAAATGATGTCTTTGACGCAACCCAGTCTCGCGCCAACCTGCGAGCGGTGCTGAAGGAGAGCAAACGCACGCAGATTGAGGAGAAGGACCATCTAAACCTAGTTAAAGTGCGTCGAACAACTCATGAAATAGAGCACTTTCACGAGTTTACTAGGTTTTAGAAGAATACCTACCCAAACTGCGTGGCTTGATTGCATGCGTCGACAATGCCCAAATAGAGCTTCTCCAGTCTGAGCCCAGTGCGTTTCTCGACCTCCATTGTCTCTCTGATGCAAACTCGTTGAAGTATTCAGTTGGCGAACCACGCTCTCTGCCAACTTCCTCCACCACTCGCCTCGGTTGGCTTTACCGTCTTTCTACGCAGAGCTGGCATACGCACTGCTCACCTACGCATTCGCCCTCTCAAATCTTGCCCATGCCAAGGTTGCGCTCCTCGGAGCCTACGAACGGAATCGAAACATTTCCGAGGCGGATCGCAAAGGCAAAGACAACCAGTTGAACGTTGCAGCAGACTTGCTATATCGAGTCAGTGGGATTTTGTCGTATATCGGAGAGACGGTTCTTGGACAGTGGGATAGGTCGGGAAGCAGCGCTGGGGTCGCAAAGCCACCTGATTTGACGCAGAACGTGAATAATGCATTGGCAAAGTGAAGTTGTTACCCAGCCCTACTCGCTCACGTTGACTCGAAATCTAGGCTGGCCTTGGCTGATGCTCAGACGCTTGCCATACGTAAATTGCTCTTCAAATCTGCTTATGACAGCAATGTTACGCCTGGCCCGCCACTCCCCAAGTCGCATCCTTCACCTGCGTTGATCTCGAAACTACATCTAGAATGTGCTGCGTTGTACTCTTCTGCACGGACTCTGGCCAAGACTTCGGGGAGTACGGGCAGCAATGGCAAAGGCATCAACATTAACATCAGCAAAGACGGTGAAGTCTCCACGGATCTCCGACGATATTTGAACGACGAGACGGCCATTCATGAAGCACTGGCCCATAAATGGCTTGGGGTAGATGCGGGTGAAAATGGAGGCACGGATCGGGGTGGGGACGCTGTTGCTTTTCTGGCGCGGACAAAGAAGGAACTGGAGGAACTCAAGGGACGGAAGAAGGATAGCGTTTCGGAGGAGCTGGAGAGTGTGACCGTGTTTTTGAAGCACTATAAGAAGATCAACGACTCAGTGAGCCGTGGTCGATCCAACCTGACGACGCATGCTGATAATTTCTAGCTACACTTCCAGCCTGTACCTTCACAAGCAGATCTACAGTCGCGCATTCCGGCAGGAAGACTAGTGCAAGGAGCAAAGACTTTGGTGCCTCCACAAATGCGGCCAAATCAAAGTCCAACCCACTCTTCAGCTCATCGGCCATTCCAACATTTTCGCGCTGGGTGACGCCATTGACTACGTCGAGCAAAAGCAGGTCATGAAGGCTATGGCTCATTCCGGTATTTTCACCGCCAACATCGTTGCCTTGGATTCGGGAAGCACGAAGTTAAAGCCGTACAAGGGTTCGACGGAGATGATCATCGTCACCAATGGCAAGAACGGCGGGCCATTGTACTCAATTCGTGAGACTGCTCGGACGCTTGCGCGCATTCTGATTTTTTTTTCAAGGTGACTGATTGGTTTGCGCGTATGATCAAGTCGAAGACACTTCTTGTGCCTATGACGCGGGGTAACATGGGATACTAGTCGAGTTTCGGAATCTACTTATTCAACTTCGAAATCCAACTCTGCATCCGAGACCAGCCTGGCTTATTTTCTCCACCCAGACTGAGAAGGCGAAGGACGTTATACCTATCTGCCCCATCTATAATTCCGCTCCATTATTTACTGTTGGTCCCCGTCGGCCACAGACCATCGACGAACTCGACGTGACCCTTGCCGAACATGAAGCCCGTCCGATAACGATGAATGAAAGCTACCAGACTCTGAGCGAACGGATCAAGAAGCTGGTTGAAGCCCGCTATGTTTTACGGGAGACCGCTACAAGGTTAGCCTGTTTTCCCTTCTTTTGCCCTTTTTTCAACTTTTTCCAGACACAACGTCATCAAAGCGACATTCGCACTTTCTTTAACGACAGCTCAGTCCCCTTACTGCCACACGATGAGCGCAAAAACCAGTATTCAATTGCATCTCCATCACCTCATTCCCCAGGCCTCGTACAATCGCACTTCGATCTCGAGTTTGTTGTTGGAACTCTTGACCGAACTCGAATCCTCACTTTCGAGCGTCTTTTGTGGCAAGTTCTGCGTGGCAATCTTTACATGAATCACACCGATATTGTCGAACCCTTCGTTGATCCACTGACTGGGGCTGAGGCTCGCAAAAATGTTTTCATCATCTTTGCCCATGGAAATGCTTTACTTGCCAAGATTCATAAAGTCGCTGAGTCCATGGGTGACACGCTCTACTCTATCGACGCTCACGCCGACAAGCGAACCGAGTCCCTTCGGGAAGTGTCCGTCCGCTTCGAGTACCTCTACAACACCGGGATGAATCGCCGCACCGAGCTCGTGAAGATTGGCAAGAGCCTGCGGACACCCTTTGTCATTTCACTAGCGTCGTCTTGTGGAGTTACTGGTCAGAGAGATGTGGAGAGGAAATATCTCTTCGTCAGACGACGAACGCACTGGACAAATCGGCTTCTCGGCACCGGGGTATTTCCGATCGCATCGAGTTACGAATCTGAGACGCAAAGTCAACGCTTCTTCCTTTTGCCATGTTGGTCGCTTATACTGGTCGACCTCTCCCAGATGACGACGTGTCCGATATTCCTTGTTTGTTTCTATCGAAACGACTTGCAACGCAACAAGCTCGAGCTGAACGAGCAATTCCCAGAATTCCCACTCTTATTGATCTCAGTGTTGCGAAACCTCAAAACACTGATGATATGGATTGGGAGGTTATCGAAACCTTGCCAGAACACCTGATTGCGAGAATACCTTTGGCAATCATTCGTCGAGCCGCGAAGCAAGCTTTACATGCAAGTTGTATCAAACTGCACGAATTAATTTGGCTAACTACAACAGAGGAATGTCAAAACGATAGAAGATTTCGATTGGGATGAGTTGTGAGTAGAGATAGACTCTATGTTAACCGTACTCAATCCATTCCCAGTGTTTCTCAGCATGAGGCCGTCATACAAGAAACTACCCATGTTCCGGGAATGGCCACATATGGACTGTTGTCTCTTGACGACGCAGCACTATGCTGGACAACTTCATTCTTGACGGGTTATAGTCGCGCAATTGTTCGGCCTCCTTCCAGCGGGTCGTTAATCTTTGCTAAACATGTCAATCCTGTCATTCATATTCAACCCTCATTGGCTGAATTCGCTTCCCGATTCTCGTCCTTCACTTTCGGTCTTCTCGAAGGAGTTGATTTCACCAATCTTCTCATCGCTGGCGGATCCGTACTTGGCTGTTTATTGACTGAAGCCTCTCCCGTTCTTCGAGCTCGATTGGAGAGATTATGGGAATCTTCCGACATCGACATATTCATCTATGGATTGACGGTCGATGCTGCTATCGCCAAAGTCAAGGACGTGTTCGATCCAATCTTCCACCCGATGCTATTCTACATGCGGTCAAAACATTGAAAACCATGATGGTATACTCCGAGTATCCTATTCGACGGTTTCAATTTATACTCAAACTTCCCGCAACCGCAAAAGATGTTCTATTGGCATTCGATCTCGATATCTGTGCTGTTGGGTGGGATGGAACGCAGGTTTTGATGCTCCCTCGATTTTTACTTGCCCTTGAAAGTACGTCGTCTCTTCTACATTCCCGCTATGTTCATTCTTTTCTTATAGCTGGCTTTTCTAAGTTCAACATGAGTATGATTCTGGGCCATCCTCTCGGAGAACGTCGCAATTCTACTTTCAAGCGGTAAATCATTCAATACTACTCTGTAGATGTTTCACCTATTTTAGTATGTCCAAGTATGCGCGAAGGGTAGGTCGATATCTAGTTCAAGATATCCATTCATGACTCCAGGGATTTGGAATTCGGATCGAGCCTAGGCACCTCGATCGTGCACAGGAATCAGGTCGACCTCATGCCTTGAATGTGCTCTCATCCTTCGCAAGAAAACAACAATTCCCTTCTCACCAGTTGGAACAGCGACTACTACTATGATTGGTTACTCTTTTCATACGCTTATGTATCTTGAAACACATGTAAACATGAAAAGTAAACATAGGTAAACAACTGTAATGGCCCGATGATTGATCGGCATACTTCGGCATACTTCGGTCGATTGCAACCTACAATTGATAATCACCGAGCTAGGCAGCCCTCCTACAGTTTTGTCGATTCTATGCTGAACATTTGAGTGCTTATTACAAAAACATCACTTTCGTAGATCCTGCTCCCGGTTCTCTTAGTCTGATCTGTGCTAAATTATATTTACACAAAGGGAGAGACTCTAAGAAAGAGGGTTTTACTCCATTTTTATCTTGCTGGCCAGTGGCAATGCCTGGCATGCTCAGTTGTGAGTCTTTGCTTTTTGTCAATGGTAAGTCATTTTTTTATCATGTTGTCTCTGTGAATATTTATGCTCTAGTGCATATACTCATTGAAAGACATAATGATAGATTAGACCAGCCAAGACTTGCTGGGGATGTATCACAGGGATTTTGAGAGGTTGCTTCAATTTCAGTGAAGCTAAGTTATGGTCATACAAGATTGAAAGGACTGACCTTTTCAATAGTTAACAAGTATAATAACCCGTGCCTACGGCGCGCTTCAATTTTATTTTAAATAATTATTGACATACATAATTTCATTAATATAAGATGGATCAGGAAAAATATTCAGATTAAACAAAAGAGACTAAGAAAAATAATTAGTTGATTTTTCTATAACAAAGAATTATAAGATAATTATACATACTTTAATGATTGAGAACCTCAGGATATACCACATTCTTTGTTCTTGTATTAGTGCTGGTTTTGAATAGTGCTTTCACCCTCTGGCTTGAGGTGCATCTGGAGAGAGCAACATATAGTTGACCATGGGCAAACACATCAACTCGCAGATCTAAACCAACATAATCCACAGACTGGCCCTGGGCTTTGTTGATAGTCATTGCAAATGCTAAACGTAAAGGGAATTGCCGACGTCTCAGAGGAATACCAATTTGTTGAATAGAAGGTGTGAATGTCAATCTGGGTATAAAGACTTTTGAGCCTGCATGAGTCCCTCCTATGAGACGAATTTCAAGTACATGGGGCTTGATTTGGGTTAAGATTCCCCTTGACCCATTGCAAAGACCATGAGCAGGATCAAGATTCCTAAGAACAATTATAGGACACCCAATTTTTAGCTTAAGATTAGCTAGTGGTAATCCTGAAGCCTTGAGAGAGTTCAAAAACTCAGGAGGATATTGTTGATTTTCTGCATCTGCTCCTGCCTCATGTTGAACTGAATCAGCACTTTGGAAAACTTTAGGTGGGCCAGAGAAGTGATTGAGAATTTGATGATTAAGATCATCAACATCATCATTTCTGGCAGAAAGGATAGTTCTCTCCAGAAAATATTTGTCATTCTGGTGTATAGCAGGAATTGTGGCAATATGAGGATAGACAGAGTCAATAAGGGAAGCAACATTATTTTCAGGCAGCTTCATGTTTTCAGGTAGTGTGACACTTCCAGTAGCATCAGAGTTAGTGCCATGTCCAATTTGAAGAAGCCACTGGGCAAACTCTGCATCCTCCCCTTGAGCATTAGGACCACCCAGTCTCATATTCTGAGTCAATTTGAGAACTTTCACTTGTTTCCACAGATAAGAGCTGATCAGACAAAATCCAATAATCACATTCTTAGTGCCACCTGGAACAACTGGGAGAGTTTGTTGCCAGTCACCACCATATACTACAGTTACCCCACCATAGGGAAGGTTGCTGCCCCGGATATCCTGCATAGTCTTATCTACTGCTTCAGCAGCACGGCGATCTTGAGCTGGTAATTCATCCCAGATAATGCATGCTACTTCTTTGAGAAGACCTGCAAGCATTGATCCTTTAGATATTGGACAGGTTTTCCCCTCAAACAGCTCTAAAGGAATTTTTAATGTGGAGTGAGCAGTTCTCCCCCCTATAAGAAGAAGAGCTGCAATTCCAGATGAGGCAACACATAAGATAATAAGACCACGTCCTCTAAGTGCATAGCACAGAGTATTATATACAAAGGTCTTTCCAGTACCTCCTGGACCATTTAAAAAAAAGAGCTGAGGCTGATTATTAACAACTGCATTAAAAATAGCATCAAAGGCAGCTCGTTGTTCAGCATTCAATTGTGGAATACACTCTTCTGCCTGTTGGGCTTGCATTTCAATATCATAATCTAACTGTTCTGCAATTAGTCTATTGCCCTCTAGAGCTCCCCAATTTCCTGTAGCAATTGGCATTGGCTTGAAGTCTCCTAATGTCTTTCCAGACTTCTGAAGAATGAAATCTATCAAGTACAATCCATAATCATAGATCTGTTCATCTGTTGGATCTTCAATCTGGAACTGTTGAATAAGTTTGTGACGCAGGTGCATAAAATTTGAAAATCCTCCTAATTAGGATGCTGTGGGACCAAAAAAAAATAGCTCTTACCAAAATACTGTCCCA